AATATTAGGTAAATATGGAAGCAAAGCCATTCCACAGGGTCATTTTTAAAAAAGGAATTCTGGTTCTGTTTTCTAAAGAAATATAGAAATTCTTAATTTGGATCTATGTATAGTTTCAGCTTTCTTCAGCTGCCAGTGTGTTATCCATCTTTAGCCTAAAAAACCTGGCATAAAAGATTTTTGTTTGTTCACATATGAGCTCCTTTTATATTTAGAAAATTAACATCTTTCTTTGGGGGTAATTCTTGGTTATTCTGCCATAACAGAATATGTATTAACTTGTAGATTCAGTGGTTCGATACCTACTTAATGATGTGCTGATATTCCAGAAGGATTTCTTGCATTGGTGAAAATAAAGATGGGACAGAGGGAGGATATATTTTTTTCCCACTGTGCCCCGCCCCCGCTCCCGGAGCCCCCACACCGATATTTTTGTTTTTAATGTACCTGTTTTGAAACTAGACACCTTGTGTTTTTGTTAAAAAGAAAACAAAATTATTTTTAAAGAAAGAAAACAAAGTTAAAAAATTACAAGCTTTCAATAGATTGTCCAAATGAATTTCACTATGTCTCTGATAGTTTACTTCGGTGGAAGAAAAAAAAATCCATCCATTTGACATGATGACATTAAAGAAAAAAGGCCAGTGAGCTTTATATTTTTTTTCTGAAAGTAACATTGAGCCATTCTGTTTTACAAGCTATTGTAGTTATGCCAGTCCTGGTGCCCTTGGCGATGTTTTATTGGTGTGGTCATCATTGGCTGACATCTGTGGCAAATGTGTTGTTGTTGGTTTGTTTTTTTTTCTAAAATGTCCACAGAATCACTATCACCTACTGCTTTATTCAAATCTGAGACCTGAAATGAACCTCGGAACGATCGTGTTTGACTCCATCATCTCTCAGATGCAAATACTCTGACAAGTGCAGGCTCTGAGAGAGCACTGCCCCTGGACTCAGGAGAACCAGGGTCTGGGTTGGCTTTGCCTTTCCAAGGTGAGAGGCTGCCTAAGCTCTGCGCTCTCTACTTGGGCCTCCTTTCTCTCACCTGCAAAGTGAGGGGCTGGGCAACAGCACCTCTCAGGTCTCCTGCTGCTCCAACATGCCAGGATTTTGCAT